TCCCTGCCATCCGTGACTCACAACAGCCAACCTCTCCCATAAGTTTCCTATTTTTGAAACTTCCGCCACCGCCTTGCGAGGTACTACTGGTGTATGTATAAATGATTTGGTTTTATGTGATGTAAATGTATATATATATATATATACATATGGTTATACATATATATGTTTATATATAAGATACATACACACATATTATATCATAAACATAGATACATCCATTGGCAGCAAACTGTCTATCACACTGGTTTTCTATCAGCTAAATTGTGTCTCTGAAAGATCTGAAAATATGCCAATCACTTTGAAAGGAGCTCAGACTTGAGCCTGTACAGCTGATCATCACGTGGCATGTCTGTGAGATGGAAATCGCTACTCTGCTGCGTTGGTAATTAGCGATTCGCGGTGCACTTTTTTAGTCGAACCAGCCATGGCGTTGAAGCTATTTATATGCAAAATTCATCAAAATTAATCATCCAAACGGCATGAAAAACACTTAACATCATGATCACCACCACCACCAGCACCAGCACCAGCACCACCACCACCATCACCATCACCACCCCCACCCCCGCAACCACCGCCACCCCCACCACCACCACCACCACCACCACCAGGTTTTAAAAAAGTCGACACCTAGGCCAAAACTGCCTGCATCTGAGGGGCTGGTGTCTGCTCTGTGACAGGCCATCTTGGAGCTGAACAAAGTGCTAGTGGAGCCCATGCGAGTGCCTTAGTAACTGGGCGTGCTAGTGAGATCTCTGGGCAGCTGGGGACTGGGCGAAGAATTTCGTTCTGAAAGTATTGGCTATGGGGAGAAATATCTCTGAACTGTAGCCATTTTTGGGTGATGAACAACTTGGTGATTTAGTTTGGGGATAAAATAAATAAAAATGGTGGTTTACCTCCCAAAAAAAAACATATGAGATGAGAAGAGCTAAAAAAGTGGATCATGATCCCATTTTCAAAGTCCATATTTGAAACCAGGCTGTTCAGATTGTTTGTTGGTCCTAGAATCCTTCTGGACCACGTAATCCCAAGCGTACTGGGAAAAATGCCCAATAATTATGAGGTGAAAGTTGCCAACTTGTGTTGTCCATATTGAAGATATTCCACAGCCTACTTGGTGGCTCATCCCACGAATCGTAAATGGGTTAAGTTATAACCTTATAGCCCCAGTTATAAGTGGATCAACCCTACTTATACCATACGTATCCCATGTAAATAGCATAAAAAATTACTGGGGTGAACTAACCCACAACCACCATCCGACCATCCGTCGGGTGAGGCACGTGGTTTCGCCCTCACCAAGACTGACTTCACTGCCGACGTGGCATTGAGATGTAGGAAGACCTGCGCAGAGGCCATTGGAAAAACTGGGTCGTCAAAAAGGCTTCGTTTGCCAAAGGGTTCTGTGGTTCTTCAGTTCTTAAGATTTCTTAAGGCATTCTTACCATGAAAGAAATGAAGTTGTTATTTTGTGCAAGTGGGGTGAGTTTAACTAGAAAAAATGGGTAGTTGCACCCACACAAATGGCTGGTTTAACACTGGTGGCGAATAAACTCCAGTATTCGAAGATGGCTGATTTTCCAGGTTTGGCGGCCAAAGACACTGGAGTTCCCTGCTGAAGTGAAAACTGCTGAGTTTGGACTGCTGGGAGTCACAAAGAAAGCTCTGAAATATGGATACATATGGGACATGGGTCAAATTTAAGACCCTGAAGACAACAAATGTCTGTCATGTTTAGTATTAACCATCCATCAATGGATTCGCTCTGCCATCCATGCATCACAACAATTCACCTCTCCTATAGTTTCCTAATCTGAGCGGTGCCCAAGTTTGAGCAACCGGCGCTGTTAACGGACCCGCAGGTTTTGCTGTTTTTTTGCTGTCGCATTGCCCGTCAGTTTGAAGTTGTGCCCGTCAGTTAGAAGTTGTGCAAGTCAGTTAGAAGTTGTGCCCGTCAGTTAGAAGTTGCGCACGTCAGTTAGAAGTTGTGCACGTCAGTTAGATGCTGTGCGCGAAGGATAATGTGATTTTCGTGGGGAACTGGGTGGGGTGGGGGAGGGGGGTGGGGGGGGCAAGGGGTACCCTGTAACATGTCTCTGGTCACTTGTCACACGCTCTTGATGCAAAGCTGTAACATGTCTCTGGTCACTTGCCACACGCTTTTGATGCTACGCTGTAACATGTCTCTGGTCACTCGTCACACGCTTTGGATGCTTCGCTGTAACTGTCTCTTGTCTTTCTATTTTCAGGTGAGTAAAGTAAGACGTGTAATGTTGACATTTGAGAGTTGAGCATTTCACATCAATTTGCTTACAGGACATCGGACCCATGAAATTTCTACCGCTAACACCATGGGTTTCCAAGAGTAGAGGCTGTTATCATGTCTGGATCGTACATCACTTATCTCATAAATTTTGTTTGTTCATTGGATTGAAACACACCTGACAAATGATGGTTTATCACGATGCAACTGAAGCGCTTCGTGCCCTTCTCCGTCCATAGCAAAGACAAGGTTACCAAAAAGGATTCTCAAAGAATCCAACAGTATGTGTGGTCCTTCGCCTACCGTTGGAGCCACAAGGCAGACTTGAAAGGAAGTCTCGCCAAACTGGCAGCTAAGGTTAACAAACGCAGACGCTGAACCCATGAAGAGAGAAAAAGAAGAGGACAAAACGCCGTCTTTCATTCCGTTTTCCAAATCCACATTTTCAAATTATTTAGCCCAATAGAATTCAATAATCAGTGAATAAATTCCTAGCGTAGCGTGGGACGAAAACACCATTTCTAATTGAAGGCAAAACAACAAAATCGTCACGGCGCCACAGTTTTAAACAAATCAATGAAGAATGGTTGAATCAAAATCATTAAAACCACCGGGTCCGCTATCAGCGCCGGTACCAAGTTTGACACATACCCACATTATCACATTGGTTTTCAATTTCGATCATCCCATTTATTGGGGTTGTGGACGGTGATGCGAGCTGTGCTCCAGGCTGTTGAAAATTGGACGATGTAAGAAACATCTGATAGCACCTTCTAGTCTAACACGGGTAAGGGAAAAACTAGATTTACATATGTATATAAATATATATATGTGGTTTACCAGCACACTTCATGGATTGCCAGATTTTGCCAGTTTTCTTGACCTCTCTTGAGTGATGAGGTGTACCCGGTAAGGGAAGGTATATCATGGCCATGGGGGTTTTCCCTTGAAAATCACGGCGGGAAACCCACAAATGTCCCACGGATGGGGTGTACCGTGGAAGTGTATAACCCGCACAAACACTAACCAGCTTCTAAGTGGGATGCCATCCACCTACATTTGTTCTTTTACAAACCCAACTGTAGATAGACCTGGGTAAATCATAATAATTCACTAACCTGAAATTTGGCCAGTTTGGATGATTCCCCTATACATTCACCATCATTCCAGTAAGGTCACTATAATTTGCGCAGAGAGGTATCATTTATATATATATAACTATAATTATATACCAGTAGTACCGCACAAGGTGGTGGCGGAAGTTTCAAAAATAGGAAACCTATAGGAGAGATTGGTTGTTGTGAATCAGGGATGGCAGAGCGAAGCCACTGATGGACCAAAAGGTGCTTGAGGTCTCCTGTCTTTCTCTCTCTTTCTCTGACTATCTACCTACCTACCTACCTACCTATCTATCTTCTATGTATCTATCTATCGATCTATCTATCTCTCTCTCTCTCTCATCTAATTACCTATCTATCTATCCATCTATCTGTCTATCTATCTATCTGTCTATCTATCTATCTATCTATCTCTCTCTCTCTCTCTTTCATCTGTCTATCTGTCTAGCTGTCTACCTGTCTATCTGTCTATCTATCTATCTGTCTATCTGTCTACCTGTCTATCGGTGGTGCAGTGTCATTTGGTGTAATGTAGTGCAGTGTAATGTAGTGTAGTGTAGTGTAGTGTAGTGGAATGTAGTGTAGTGTAGCGTAATGTAGTGTAGTGTAGTGTAATTTAGTGTAGTGGAGTGTAGTGGAGTGTAGTGGAGTGTAGTTGTGTAGTTGTAGTTGTAGTCGTAGTTGTAGTTGTAGTGTAGTGGAGTGTAGTGTAGTGTAACGTAGTGAAGTGTAGTGGAAGGTAGTGTAGGTAGTGTAGTGGGGTGTAGTGTAGTGTAATGTAGTGTAGTGTAGTGTGATGTAGTGAAGTGTAGTGTAGTGGAGTGTAGTGTAGTGTAATGTAGTGTAGTGTAATTTAGTGTAGTGGAGTGTAGTTGTGTAGTTGTAGCTGTAGTTGTAGTGTAGTGGAGTGTAGTGTAATGTAATGTAGTGAAGTGTAGTGGAAGGTAGTGTAGTGTAATGTAGTGTAGTGTAGTGAAGCGAAGCGAAGCGACATCTGAACCTCCAAAAGTGGTCCGAACCCCTAGTGTTTTTAACATTTTGACTTCGAAATGTGCTTCGCGCCACAATGGCGTGCACTTTTTCGACATCGCAACTTCTAAAAGTGGTCCGAACCCCTAGTGCTTTTAACATTTTGTTTTCGAAATGTGCTTCGCGCCACAACGGCGTGCACTTTTTCGACATCTCAACTTCCAAAAGTGCTCCGAGACCGCCAGTCGAAATGTGCTTCGCGCCACAACGTCGTGCACTTTTTCAACATCTCAACTTCCAAAAGTGCTCCGAGACCCTCAGTTTTTAACACTTTTGACTTCGAAATGTGCTTCGCGCCACAACGTCGTGCACTTTTTTCGTCATCTCAACTTCCAAAACTGCTCCGAACCCCTCAGTTTTTAACACTTTTGACTTCGAAATGTGCTTCGCGCCACAACGCCGTGCACTTTTTCAACATCTCAACTTCCAAAAGCGGTCCGACGCTGAGGTGTTTTGTACCTTTTCACTTCGAAATCGGCTTCGCGCCACAACGGCGTGCAACTTTTCATCTCTTATCTCCCCAGATGTCTCCGCACCCGCCGCTTTAGCGAGCCTAACCCTCCGGAGCCACAAAACCACGAAAAAACACAGTGTTTCGCGACTTTCCTACCTTTTCGCGTACCTGCATCTTCTTTCTTCTGATCTTTTCTCTTCTGACTCTCCTCCCTGCTGACTGCTTTTTCATCTCTCCATATTGTCGGAAGTTTGACTTCTAAACTTCCTTCGATAATTATATATATATATATATATCCACCAGAAAGCCCAGTGAGCCTTGGTTGCTCTAGTTACAGAGCAACTTACCCGTCTCCCAATCGTCCATTTTTGGATATTGGAAGTGCATCCCACTGAGTGGGATTGTTTATCATAACAAAACTGGAATATGACATAATATGACTCATATGACAGTTATGATAAAAGATCCCACTTTTGTGGACATAACCAGTGTTAATTAACATAATCAGCCATGTTATTCATGGTTAATGAATATCAATTAGCCATAATATGACACTGATTAATTACATAACTGGCTGGTGGTTTCAACCATCTTGAAAATATTGGTCAGTTGGGATTATTATTCCCGTATATTATGGAAAAATAAAACATGTTCCAAACCACCAACCAAACACTGATTAACCACATAATTATGACATAATTATCATGGCTAATTACTATTCATCACACAATGAATCATTTTTAGATCCCCCATGGCGTTAATCTATCCCAGCCTACCATCAAAAATGAAAAGAAACGAGGCCAATTCCAGTGAATCCCAGTGATATGATATGGGATAAACCATGCATTAATTCATGTCAACCCCACATGAACAAACCATGGATATGTTTATTATAATTAGGTGCACTCATTTCCTGCCAATAGTCATTATACTTTTAAATGGTACCTTCCCAATTCAACAGCCGTTTGGGGTTTATTACTCCAGCGTTGACAGCCGGATGGGATAACCCTGGGATCTGCGTCGACTCCACCTGGGCATCTGGGACGTCTGCCAGTTGCAGCTTCACGGTCCAACCGCTCTGAGCAGCTTTGCGCAAGCCGCGCCAGGGCATTTTCACCTGCGCTTGGTGAAATTCGGGGGGGGTTCAAGGCTCAGGCACCCTGGGGACCACAGATTTGAGTCTATCTTTGGAGTATTGAGATTTTTATTGTTAGCATCTATTTTTTTGGGGTACCCAATAACTTGACCCATTCCCTAATAGCAATCGTAACGGGGGATTCAACCGAGGATGGAGATATCGGGACAACTGGTCACCATCCCAAAATAACTTGAGACCAACAATTCGCATCAGAATTGATCCAAAAGATCAATTCAAATGGGTGACCAAACACTACCACTTTATGAGTCTTTATTTGATATTTGGGGATATAAAATTGGATACAATTGATTTATATATATATATGTACGTATGGATATTGTAACCAACAATATTTCAACGCATTGGTATGACCAGAACGAGGTGGTAAGGTGATACCACAATTTTATGGTGATTCTCACGGGTAGAATGTTTTGTCCCCCAAACCTAGGATTTGAATGGATTTGAGATACCATCTATATGTCTTCAGACCAAGCCGTGTGGGAAGCAGATTGGCTGTTGAGTTTGAACCGACCATCTCGCAGGTCAAACATTAAAATGACTAATGAGGTCAAGAACGGAATTCTACAGATATCAGAAGGGTCCACTGCTTGTTCAGATGGTGGGATTTTTGGCGGGCATTATAGACTGAAAATTCAGCAACGACAATGAGAGCAGCCAATGGAACAAAGAAATCAAACTCAGAGTCGTGGCTTCGAGGTTTGTGATGACTAATGTCGCTATGGATCAAAGACCCAGGACACTAGCAAACATCAGAAATTGACTGGGAAATCAACTTCATCCCTGCCGCTAATTGTGCATTTTAGCCCTCCAAATGCTCTCATGGATGTGGCATGACGTTGGTAAATGGTCCCATCCTGGGAAAGTTATTAATCCCATCCCTCGTTCTTATTAGTTACACACCCATTCTATGGTCCCAGTTATGTGTAAATCCCCCACTGAACCATGCGTTCTAGGTGTTTCATGTTGGGGGAAGGGATGATGTTTCCTAAACTGGTTCTTGGGATGGTGATATATCTTTTCTGGTTTCACCACCCCAAATGCCTGCATTGATAGTACCCAATTCTATGCTGGTTCATAGTCCCAATTCTATGGCTAATCTCATCATACCCTGCACACATTTTTTTTGAGCTGGTGAGTACCTATCCCATCTATATCTATATCCATTTATATACAGCAAAAGAGTTGTTAGTACAGGGTGGTAGGCCCCCCAGTTATAAATTCAAAATCCCCATGAACTATAGATATATATATATATAACCTCATGGAGGCCCTAGTTTTTGAAGGTCATAAACCAACCTAGCTAACAAACTGGCAAAGCAATGATAGCACTGTGTACTAAACTACTCAGCCATCCATCCGGGGCAGATCCAAGCGGCTACACAACTGGCTCCGCTGAAGATTTGCTCAGAGCGGCCCACAGGTTCCAAAAGGCCCAGATTGATATCTTGCCCCAACAAGTTCCAGACCCGTAGCTGAGGTTGTCCTGAATCGCCAGCCAAGAGACTGAAATAAATGGCTTTGAATAGTCCGTAACCTCCAAATAGAAGGCTAAACAGTTAGTTGATACAGCTGTAAAGATGATCCAAAAATGATAAAAATGATCCGGAATCAGCAGTTGAGCCATTGAAATTGAAATGTGCTGTTGAAATCTGTTGAACCTCAAATTGTCACCAAACAACTACCAAACAATACCAAACTCACCAAACAGCAACGATCGATGCGATAGTATGGTCAACAAACACGCAGCATGATCATCGGGTTTCTGGCATGGGGTACACCCCGAAATGGCACCTTAAATAATATGGGAAATGAATGAACATTATATAAAATTGACTATCAATTCACTATCAATCTCTCAGGTGGCCGCCACATTTCCATCGCCTCAATGTCAGCTATGTACAAACACTCCAATGCTTGACATGAAGTGTAGTACAAGACCATTGCGAAATGTGGGGTCTAAGCCCTGCAGTAATGCAGTAAACGCCGAGTTCTAGCCTGCAAGATATACATGATGATGAATCATAATGATATACGCAGTCGAAGTCCAAAAAAGGACTCATCCACATATCTTAAATCTCAGAACTGACTAACAAATTGTAGCAACATAAGGTGCGCATACTTCTGGGCAGGTCCAAGTCTGCTAGACTTTGCTTGAAATCATGACCGAAAGTCAGGCTCTGCAGATTACCTGGCAGTTTCACACCCTCCATGGTTTGATTGAAGCGGTAGCCAAACTTCAAGCTTTGCAGAGTGCTGGGCAACTTCACGGTCTGCAGGCTCTGGTTGAATTCATATCCAAATGTCAAGGTTTGGAGACCACTGGGCAAGTCCACACCCTCGAGGCTCTCATCAAAAGATGTACCAAATGACAGGTTGAGAAGATCCTCCGGCAACTTCACACCTTCCAGGCTCTGACTGAAGTGCGATTCAAACGTTAAGCTCTGAAGTCCACTTGGAAAGTCCACTCCCTGCAGGCTCTGGTTGAAAGTGAATCCAAAGACGAGACTTTGAAGACTACTGGGGAACTTCACCCCATCCAAATTGTTGTTGAAACTCTTGCCGAACGCCAAGCTCTTCAGGCTTTGCAGCAGGCTTAGACTCTCCAAGCTGTTACGAAAAATCGAATCAAATGACAAATGTCGAAGACTCTCAGCCAGGATTTGACTGTCCAAGGGCTGATTGAAAAACCGACCAACAGCTAAGTTTTCAAGACTCCTTGGCAAGTTAACGGCCTTGAAGCTTTTATTGAAGCGTTCACCAAACTCCAAACTTTGCAGAGCTGGTGGAAAATTCACGGCCTCCATGTTCTGGTTGAATTGTTTGCCAAAGGTCAATTTCAGAAGATTCCGTGGCAAATTCACACGCTCCAGGCTTCGGTTGAACTCACCACCCAAAGTCAGAGTTTCAAGACTGCTTGGCAAGTTGACGCCATCCAGGCTCTGGTTAAACTTTTCTCCAAAGGTCAACCTGTGTAGACTGCTTGGCAAAGTCACGCAATCCAAGCTCCGATTGAAATCTGAACCAAATTCTAAGTTTTGAAGGCTCAAGGGCAGATCGACACCCTCCAAGCTCCGGTCAAAGCTTTGACCAAAAGTCAAGTTTTGAAGACTGCTTGGCAAATTCACACCCTCCAGGCTTTGGTCAAACAGTCCACCCAAAGTCAGACTTTTGAGATTCGGAGGGAAATCCACAAGTAGAAAGCTCTGGTTGAATCTGTAGCCAAAAGTCAAACTTTGAAGACCACTTGGCAAGTTCACACCATCGAGACTCTGGTTGAATTCGTAGCCAAAGGTCAGGCTTTGCAGATTGCCTGGCAAAGCAATCCCCTCCAGGCTTTGATTGAATTGGGCACCACAGGCCAAATTCTCAAGGCTGCTAGGCCAATCCACACTCTCCAAACTCTGATTGAAGACATAACCAAGGGTCAAAGTGCGCAGGGTGGTAGGCAACTTGGCACTCTTAAGTCCTTTGTCCAAATTCCCTTCCAGTGTCAAGTTTTGCAAATTGTTTGGCAGTACAACCCTCTCCAGGCTTCGCTGGAACTGTCCACCAAAGGCCAAAGTGTGAAGCCTGCTTGGCAACTCCACACCTTCCAAGCTCTGGTTAAAACTCTCACCAAATGTCAAACTTTGTAGACTGCTTGGGAAACTCACACCCTCTAGGCTTTGGTTGAAGTCGTACCCAAAAACCAGTGTTTCCAGACCGTTGGGCCAACGGATACTCTGAAGACTCTGGTCAAAATTGCTATGGAACGTCAAGCTCTGAACACTGGAAATCGGCAAATGTTGGAGCTGCTCCAAGGACCTGATTCCTTGCACTTCTCTTACACCTTCCAAGGCAAACTCCTGCTCTGGCACCTCCATTCCCTGAAGAAAGCACCAGGCATCATAGATGTTCCCAAGCATCCGGGTGCACGACAAGCTGCCTTCCACACCCTGCTCGCTCAAGGTCTTGTTCAGCAGCAGCCGTGA